TCTCTCTCTCTCTCTCTCTCTCTCTCTCTCTCTCTCTCTCTCTCTCTCTCTCTCTCTCTCTCTCTCTCTCTCTCTCTCTCTCTCTCTCTGGACCTGGCTCTGTATCGTGTATGTATGTGCATCTCTCTGTCTGTCTCTGCTTGTATGTTTGGTAGTGAAGGCGATGGGGTTTCGATCTCCAGTTTTCGATCCACAGTATTATCTACCCATAGTCCTTCGGCCGTTTGGGACATCCAATTAAAAGGGAATGTTACACAGAAGATTATCATGGTCCCCTGGGCACTTAAGGATGGCAAACAGAAATCTAGAAATGGTCAAATTTTCTCCGAAAAAACACGAAGGACACACTGTCCAATGTGAACCCCTAGCGTAACGATGATGTGTATAAGAGACAGGGACACACTGTCCAATGTGAACCCCTAGCGTAACGATTTGCTTGAGCCCAACAATACACAATGCATGCCGAGAAAAACACACTTAAATGGATTGCACTCGCATGCTCAATTGGCTTTTGCACAATCGTTTTGCAATCTTCCATTCATAGCTGGAATTCGCAGGATGGTAGATAGGGACAGTGGGAATCTCGTTAATCCATTCATGCGCTTCACTAATTAGATGACGAGGCATTTGGCTACCYTAAGAGAGTCATAGTTACTCCCCCACCGTTTACCCACGCATGTACCTGTGTTGTCATGTTTGCTGTACACAGCTCCACACACACACAAAAAAAAGAAAAGAAAAAAAAAAAGGCACGACTGTGACAGACTGTTTCGTCAGACTGTCACCGACTCATCAGGTGGCTGAAGGAAGCCCAACAGTCTGCCCAGATGCATTTGACCAATGGATAATAAACAGTATTAAGCCACAAGTACACGGCCCCAGCCTTGCGGTCCAAAACTTTGTCGCCACAACAAAACGAGGCCGAAACGTCAAACGCTTGGGCCGCCATCGTTAAATTCGATCGGCGGTCTCATTTTTGTTCCGCGCCTTCGGAATTTGAGGTGTCAGGCCCGCCGCGGCCCAGGTGCCCATGTTCTGGTGCTTTAAACCGCAAGTACACGGCCCCAGCCTTGCAGAAAGTTTTTGTCG